ATTGTTAAACCTAACATTCTTTAAATCATGTTATGAATAATAAAAATGAAATGTTAGAGTGTTATTTTTTCCTGGTTTAAATATCAGACATTATTGTGCTTATTCCATTAATTCTGACTTTATTTTTGGGAAACCTGATTTTGCTATAGAGATTGCTGCTATTATATTTTCTTGGAAAATTTGTTTGTCTGTAGGTGTGCTGGTAATTGGGTGAAACATTCCACTAAGCTATGTTGATACAGAAATATTTTTAAGTATACTTTTCAACATTTTCCTCATAAATGAGGAATATATTTGAACACATTCACATATATTAAAAGTCACAGTGCTGATAAATAACAGTTCATAGTTGATGCTTGTGGTATGATTACTGATTTGATGAATCAGAAAACAAGTTTGGATTTGCCACAGTAGCTAGAAATTTAGGAGTAAAATCTAGGACGAGGGAGCTAGAGAGGAGAAGTCCTCAATTCTGCACGTAACTTTGCCCATTTCTCTGGCTGAACCTTGAACTGTGCATGAGCAGGACAAACACTAAGCATCCCAGCTGTCCAGCTGCTGGTAGGGGATGACTGATTGGGATTTTGAGTTTAGACAAGCTAAGTGCTTTTTAAAACAAAAGTGAGCACCCCTTAGAGAATGTAACAGAATCAGTAGCCTTCAAACATAACCATTTACAGTGACCAGGATACAATTCATAATTACTCAGTGTCTGAAAAAACAGGGAAAATGTGATCCATACATTTAAAAAAAGTAACAAATTGGTGACCTGTTCTGAGCCAGCTCAAATACTAGAATTAGTTGACAAGAATTTCACCAGTACTGACAATTAAGTTTGTGAACTTGCCACAGTGAGCTTACATTGGCAGCACTGTACAAACAAGGTAAGGTTTCACACCTTGCTCTATCAGTGTCTCACAGTTGTGTTCCTGTTGATGAGTGGCTGTGTCTTGCTGAGTGGTATTCATTATTGTTGCATGTTTTTGTACACTCTTGGGAGCTTGCATTAGAGCAACAAACATTTGTAAATTTTTGTTAAACATGGCAAGAATGGAAGTGAAATCAGGGATATGTTCATCCAAGTTTATGGGGATAATGCCATGAAGAGAACAGCAGTATATAAATGGATTAAACATATTTCTGATGAGAAGGAAAGCGTCATTGATGCAGAGGGTTAAGAGTGGCCAGAACTAATGAAGACATTGTAAAAATTTGTTGAATTGTGAGTCAAAATTGTCCGCTAACTGTGAGAAGCAAGGCAGACCAAGTGAAAAATCAGTAGAGAAACAGGAAAATCTTAACTAAAAATCTTGGTGTGGCTCTTGCTTCATGGCAGGGTACCAAGTCACATGACACAGTGTGTGAGGGAGTTTTTAGTCCGTAAACAAATAACCGTATTGGAACACCTTTCCTAGTCACATGATCTGGCCCCCAAAGACTTTTATTTTTTTTAACATGATGATAAAGGAAAAATTGAAAGGAAGGTCTTTTTTTGACATCCAGAATATCAAGGAGCTTTGATGACCATTCCAGAAAAAGTTGCAATATTGCTTTGAAGAGTAGACTAGGCACTGGCATTGATGCATGGCCTCTGAGGGGAGTACTATTAGCAGGTGTAACAGTCTCGTAACTCTCATCATCTTCTTGTTATCTGTTTAATTCTATTTCTTCAGTTCTTCCACACCTAAGGTCAATTCTTCCCTAATTCTTTTTAGCCTAGGACCAGTTTTAGCCTACTTTCATTACCTATAATTTTATCTGATAAAAGTAACTGGGAGATTTTATTTGCTGAACACTGAATACATGTAAGTTTTTTTCTGTAGATAAATGAAATGTTTTGAAAATCTTCATTTAAATAGTATTGAGACTCTTAAATATTTGAATAATTGATTCACTTTTATCATTTTATTAGTCAAGGGTCTTACTTGCAGAACACAACATCATTTTAGCTAGTGATTTATTATTGAAGGATACTGACAGAATCTTTAGGAGGCCTGGGAAGTGAGGTACTTTTGTTACACAGGTTGGAACCATGAAGCCAGGAGAAATGCCCAAACATACCATGACTGACTCAGGACCAACTTCATTGCCTTCATTGCCCACCTGGCATCTGTGAAGCCAGAGACTGCTCACTAGAACTACAGGAAAACCAAATACCTCCTCCACCAGAGTGCTTACAAGGCTAGCAGCCTCCCATCATGTGGAGCCTCCCATCACTGCTTTGGCTCACTCATTTCTTGCTTCCAAAGATCTCATATTTATTTATTTTTGGCAGTGCCTTGGTCATATGTAGACCCTTAGCTGGAATGGTATCTGGGAATGTTATATATAGTTTTCCATTCTCTGCAATAGATGAAAGTATGTTGAAAGGGGATTTGAAAAAATGTTCATCATCTTTAATCATCAGAGAAATGATTCATCAAAACCACTTTGAGATATCATCTAGCTCCAGTAAGATTAGCCCACAGAACAAAATCCCAAAACTACAGATGTTGGCGTGGATGCGGAGACAAGGGAGTACTTCTGCACTGCTGGTGGGAATGCAAGCTAATATGGCCTTTTTGGAAAGAAGTTCAGACAATATTCAAGGAACTAAAAGTGGACCTACCATTTCATCCTGCAATCCCTGTATTAGGTATTTACCCAGATGATCAAAAAACATTTTACAACAAAGACATTTGTACCAGAATATTTACTGCAGCCCATTTCATAATTGCCAAGTCATGGAAGCAGCCCAAGTGACCATTGATCCATGAATGGATTAACAAATTGTAGGTATATGTGTACCACGGAATATACTATGCAGCCATAAAAAGATGGAGACTTCACATCTTTTATGTTTACATGGATGGAGCTGGAACATATTCTTCTTAGTAAAGTATCTCAAGAATGGGGAAAAAAAGCTTCCATTGTATTCAACTCTACTATGACATCAGTATGTAATCACCCACACATTCATAGGAATGGTATAACATAACTGTAGCCCAGAAATAGTGAGAAAAGATGAAGGAGAGGGAAGAGGAGGGGAGAGGCTGGGAGGAGGGAGGGTACCTGGGGACACCTAACCTAATGTGCATAACACAATGATGCATTTCTAAACTATTAAGAATAGAGTATGACTGTCTTATCACAACAAATAAGTAAGTGAGGAAATGGTTATGTTAATCAATTAGATGTAAGCATTCCAATTATATATCAAATCAGCACATTGTACCTCATAAATGCATTAATGGACACAGTTATGATTTAATAAAGAATAAAAATGAATACTAAGGATAACCCCCCCAAAAAAGGGGATTTGAATTTTATTTTATGTTTTTTTATTTAATTTTTTTTTTTTTTTTTGAGACAGAGTCTCAAGCTGTTGCCCTGAGTAGAATGCTGGTGCATCACAGCTCACAGCCACCTCCAACTCTTGGGCTCAAGCCATTCTCTTGCCTCAGTTTTTCTATTTTTACTAGAAACATGGGTCTCAGCTTTTGCTCAGGCTGGTCTCGAACTTGTGAACTCAGGCTATCCACCGCCTCAGCTTCCCAGAGTGCCAGAATTATAGGTGTGAGCCACGATGCCTGGCTAATTTGAATGGTTTTTGAGTATCTGCTACATTCATAATAAAAAATGAAAATAAAAGTATCAGTGTGCTGTTTACCTCATCACTGAATATCACAATAGTCACCAGATGGCCAGGGGGAGTACTTCCAAGGCAGCCATAGTAATTTTCAGCAGTGAGACGCTTTTCTAGGATGAGTTTATGAACTTAATTGTCAGAGCTTGTAAAACCATAGCTCTGATGGCCATTTCAGAAAAAGAGTTCCAAAATTGCTTTGAAGGGTGGATTAAGTGTTTGTATCAATGCATAGCTTCCCAAAGGGAGTAAGTATGCTGAAGGTAACCATAGTGATATTCAGCAATGAAGTATATAGCACTTTTTCTAGGATGGGTTCACCAACTTTAATTATCTGACCTTCTGTGAGTATAGCTAATTAAAAGTTTTGCTAAGTAGCTTTTGCCTCATTTAAGGAACCTTGGAACATCTTAATGTCATATTGGTCTACTTGCATGTGTCTTCTCTTCTGCCCCCAATGATGTTGGTATGTTTTGTTTAAGATAATCTCAACTCAAAACTTAACTTGTTCCAGATCACAGCTTCAACTAATTATTATTAGAGGACTCTAATAATATTTTATCACAGGTAGAACATTAAGTAACCAATCTGGAAGCCATTGGAGAGGGGATATGCTTGAAGCATACAAGAGACTGCAACTTTTCCTAATAGAATGTTAGGATCCCCCCACCCCTGTTCTTAGTTTAGAGTCTAAGTCAGTGGGCTCTAAAGTAAGTGGAGTACACAAACCAATCTATTGGGATATGCTAAGAAAATAGTAGAAATTTTGCTGTCTACATCTTGACAATAGTGCATGACTTGAAAAGTTTGGAAACCTCTAATGTTTAGGCAATTTATTGTTTTGAATACCAAAAAAGCTATTGGGACTAAGAGGTGAAACATGTGCATGTATAACTCTCAAAGTAAACTTGGAATGTGAACTCAAATATTTTCTTTCCTTTTTATAATTTGGCTAAACCTTGATGGAGAATGTTGAGACATTAGCATGTTTACAGTGATTCAAGGGCATTTATCCAAATTGGGTTACATCTTTTAATGTTTTGAATTAATAAACTTGTATATTTGGGACGAAATTCCCCATAGCCTAGTGTTTTCTCTTATTTTTACCAGCTGAAGATACAGATAATATTCAAACCAAGACCATGTCTTCTCTTTTCAGTTAATTGTAGTTTCAGGTGTTTGCATGTTTGCTAGCTTTCCTCAGTGTCCTGTTTGCAGACATTTTCTGATTGCTGTCCGTTCGTGGTACCAGTGAGATGTTTCCCAGCCATGCTTCCATGTACCCAGTACATTGTGGTATACATACTGTCAGCAGTAGCAAGATGTAAATTCTATCAGTGGCTATAATTTATGAATATTCATGTTTTTATCTCAGATATTCAAGATTAAAGCAGTGCAATTAGCAGAGAAACTCCTTCCTGCTTTTAACACACCGACTGGGATTCCCTGGGCAATGGTGAACCTGAAAAGGTAAACTGTATTTTATGTGGGTATTCCTATTCTAGGAATTAAAATTAAAAAAGAATTAAGTTAACTGCTATTTTGATCTTTTTAGTCTCAGAAGTTTCTAATGATTCACCCTAACCATGCTTTTTAGGACTTAAATTGGTTTTCTCTGTACTTACACAGAAGCATTTTTTTAATTTAAATATTTGATTTTTAAAATATATCCTTTACTTTGAAACTGGTCACTTGCCTTAACTTCATTACAACTTCTACTACTTGTTTCTCTTAAGTCTAGATTTCTTGTCCTCACCTGTATAGTTATACAATATTTATTTCTTCAAATTTGCTTATTTATTTCCACTTGGTGCTGTGAAGGGTTCAAAGCACTTTCCTTTGCTTTTTGTATCCTCTAAGTGAAAATGAACAATATTATGCCTCCAAATTAGGGCTCACCATTGCTGAATGTCTCATCATACTAAGGGAAGATACAATTCACGATGTTGACTGTTGGGTTTTTGTTACAGTAGCTGCGCTTTTGAGGTTCTCAGTGAATTCTGAAGTATTGTTCTTTCCATTCTGTTTTTATTCTAATAGAAAACATTGGTTTTTATTTAGATGAAGTATTTTCTTTGGAAAACTTTATAAATCATATAAATATATATATTTGAGTAATGTCAAAAAATTTCTTATAACTAGCATTTAAACCTGCTGACTGAAATTCTTGCTGCTCGTTTTTTCTTCTGATAAAGTTTATTACTCATCTTAATGTTGGAGATTGATATTAGGTGGAAATTTGCTGTTCTCCTTGCACTTAGACCATTTAGAATAAAAGTTAGGAGCATTTATTTTTCTAGAGATGTGAATCTGTGACAACTTCATTTGAAAAACAAATCATCTATGTTAGTCCTTTTTTTTTCTTGTTTTAAATTTTAAAATATTAAGGGAGCACAAATGTTTCTGTTACATGGATACCTTTAATGCTGAAGTCAGACGCTAGTGTGCGTCATGAAAACACTAGCATATTCTGCCCACACTTCCCCCTTCTTGGTTTCCAGTGTCCTTTACATCTCTTTGTGTCCATGTGTGCCCATCATTTAGCTCCCAATTATTTCTGAGTACATATGATTCTTTCTAATGAAATACTTTATAGAGTTTAGATTTATATTGAGAACTCAAATTTAATACTGAACTTTAAATCTAACTTTACTATTCTCTGATTTCATGCACTATTTATAATGCAGATTACCTCCTTTGTAAGGAAAAAACTGGCTCAAGTTTGAGGGCAACCTTCACTAAAGGATGTGCCTAGTGATGCTGTATACATATTTGTTCTCTCTTCCTAATTTCATGACACTTGTCTGCTATTTCCTTCACCATCACTGTCAGAGTCATGGCCTTCTTAGATAATAATGAAAACTTAATTGTGGTAAGAAGAGAAACTTGAGGTCTTTTGTTGTTGTTGTCTACACAGAGGAAAAGAACTGAAAAAAACTAATGTTAAATTGCAAAACTTCAAATCTAAGATGGAGATTAAAGTAGAAAGGTTTTCAAGGACCATATCTTGAGCATTTTATGAGTTGAATTTTCATTTAGTTTCTGTGAATATTTTTATACAATTACATAATTTTACTTGTGTTTTTACATTGTAAATGTAATCATGTACATAATTTTAAAGGTTTTTTCTTTCCCCTCTTGTTGGCTAGGGTCTACACGTTTCCCACATATAGGCCTTCCCCAAATCATGCTGCCTGAAAGCCCGCCCATTTAACAGTCTGCGATATTCATCTTCTACAGTGTGATATAGCATACAGAAGCAAAAGCAGATATACCTGTTAGAGCTTCGTAAAACAGTTTATTTGGTTTAGTGTTGGTGTTTTTGTTTTTGTTTTTTGAGATAGTCTCATTCTGTTGCCCTGGGTAGAGTAATGTGGTGTCATAGCTCACAGGAACCTCAAACTCCTGAGTTCCAGTGATCCTCTTGCTTTAGCCTCCCTAGTACCTGGAACTATAGGTGCCTCTCACAATGCCCAGCTAATTTTTGTATTTTTAGTAGAGACAGGGTCTCACTCTTGCTTAGGCTGGGCTTGAACTTCTGAGCTCAAGCAGTCCTCTGGCCTTGGCCTCCCAGAGTGCTGGGATTACAGGTGTGAGCCCTCCCACCTGACTGTTTTACTGGTTTAATGGCTTATTTTTCTGCTACTTATTTTTTCTCATTCAGTAATACCTCATGGAAATAGTGTTGCAGGTCATCCAATAGAGTTCTTTGTTAATTTTTGTGATAATTACATACTGAGACATAGGTTAGTTATACCATAATTTCTTTATTCATTTTTATATCATTGGTATTTATTTCCATTATTTTCCCACCACAAACATTGCTACAGTGGCACTTCTGTTACAATATTTAGTGGAATTTTATTTCTCTGGAAATGATTCTTGTAAATATGATTGCTGGATCAAAGAGCATTTACCTTTTTTATTTCTTTTTCTTTTTTTTTTTGTTTTTTTGCAGTTTTTGGCCAGGGCTGGGTTTGAACCCCACACCTCCGCATATGGAGCTATAGGCGCTGCCCATTTTTTATTTCTGTAGCACAGATTCCCATATGTGGGTGGGATTGCTGCATCATAGGGATATATATTTTTATATTTAATTTTATACTTACATGTACTGCCAAAGCATGTTCCAAAAATGTGTATAGTACATCACATTTTCAACAACAATGTCTAAGAGAACTTAACTGCCTGCAGGTATAAGTTCTTTTTTTTTTTTAATTGAATGATAACTATGTACATTAATGCACTTCTGGGGTACAGTGTGGGGTTTTCACATGCAATCCGAAACACTTCCATCAAACTGGTTAACATAGCCTTCATGTCATTTTCTTAGTTATTGTTTTAAAACTTTCACATTCTACTCTTAGAAAGAGTCACTTGTACCCTTATAAGATAAACCTCAGAAGTGATCCCTCCAATCCTCCTTCCTCCACCCATTCCCCCCTCCCCTCTCCCTTCCCCTTCCCCGTATTCTTAGACTGTTATTAGGTTATAGCTTTCATATAAAAGGTATAAGTTCTTTTTTAATTTTTGACAGACTGGTATCTATAAAATGTTACACATTGTTATTTTAATTTGTATTTGCTGGCTAGTAAATTTGAGCATCCTTTTCGTGAATTTTTTGGATCTGTAGATTTGCTGTTTTGTGAATTGTCTGTTTCTAATATCGCTTCAGTTATTTATCTTTTTCTAATTAATTTGTAAAGTGCTTTCTAGGTTATGGAATTAATTCTTCTCTCCCTGTTCTATGAATGGTCTGTTGTCATTCATAAGGATTAAACTCTTATATATTCAAATATATCTTTATAACTTGTGGGTTATAATCTTGGTTAAAAAAATTGTCTTCACCTTTTTTATGTTCTTTCATATTTATTTAAAGCTTTTAAAATACTCCTTAAAAAAAATTTCAAGTATTGTGTTAGTTGTGGAGTTTTCATTAATTGCCTTTATGAGATTGAAGGAATTCTCTTCTGTTTTACTGAGAGTTGATTTCATGAATGAATGTCGAATGTTGTCTGATTTTTTTTTTATCTGTGGAGGTAATCATAGGGTTTTTCACTTTTATTCTCCTAATACGGAAAATTACTTGTAAGATTTTTAAATACTGAATCAATGTTGTTTTCCTTGGCCATAATGTATTATCGTCTTTATATTTTGTTGTATTTGATTTCCTAATACTGTGTAGAACTGTGTTTATGGTGAGTATAGGTAAAAACTTTCATTTTTTGTATTGGCTTTGTCATATTTTGGTATGAGTTATCAGATCTCATAAAGTGAGATTTATTAATATTATTAAAATTATTATTTTCTGAAATAATTTGTTAAGTACTATTTTTACTTAGTTCTTAAATGTTTGATAGCTTCACCTATACAACTATCTGGGCCAGAAATTTTTTTTGTGGGGAGGTTTCTAATAACAAATTTAATTTTTTAATATGTGTGTATGTATTATATATCATTAATACATATGAGTATTCAGATTTTATTTTCATCTTTGTCAGTTGTAGTTAATTGTATTTTTGAGAAATTTCTCCATTTCACCTAAATTATCAAATATGGTGTAAACTTGTTAATGTTATTTTCTTATTCCTTTCATGTTTCTAACTTCAGTAGTAATAACCCCTTTTTCATTCTTGATGCTGGTAAATTATGCATTCTTTCTCCCTCCCTCTCTCTCTCCTTCCCTCCCTCCTCTTTAGTATAACTAGGCATTTATCAATTTCATTAATGTTTTCAAAAACAATTTTTGCCCTTGTTAATTTTCATTATTGTTTGTTTTGTAAATTTCTGCTTTTTTTTTCCCCATTACTTTCTTCCCTTTCCTTACTTGGAATTTTCTAGCTTATTACATTGGAAGCATAGATTATTATAAACCCATAAATTTCCAAGGACTGCTTTCTGTAGCTACACCTTAGATATTTTGTTTTTTCATTATCATTTAGTGCAAAATATTTTCTAATTTTCCTTAGGATTTTTTTTGACACCTTAGTTGTTTGTAGCTATGTTTTTCAATGACCAAATTTTAGAAGGTTTGAAGATATCTTACTTGTTTTGATTACTAGTTTAATTTTTGAAATTATTGTAATTATTGAAAATACTCTTCATAATTTTAATTTTTAAAAATGTATTATAACTTTATGGCTCAGCATTATAGTCTTTTAGGTAAATACACTTGAAAAGATTGTATATTCTACAGATGTTGGGTGTAATGGTCTCTATATATCTGTTAGGTTAAGGTGGTTGATGTTTTTGGTAAGATCGTTTTATGAGTTCTGAGCTCAGGTGTTAAAATATCCCAAGTACAATTGTGGAATTGTCTTCTCTCTTATTTCTGTCAATTTTTTGTTTCATCAATTTTGTAGCTTTACTTTCAGATACTTAGACTTTCACAATACTCCTTTCTGATGACCCTTTTTATCATTCTGCTATGTCTCTCTTCATTTCTGTGTAATATTTTTGTCTTGAAATTT